CCCTGTCACTAACCGTCAATCCCCCTAACCCCTGTGTACCCCCACTCTCCCCTGTCATTGCCCCTCCACCCTCCTACCTCCTGTCGCTGCCCCTCCACCCTCCTAACCCCTGTCGCCCACACAGTGCACCCCTCACAATTATACACACTGTACCCCACACACACTGCATCCTTCACAATAACACACACACTGTACCCCTCACAATTACACACACTGTACCCCTTACAATTACACACACTGTACCCCCCACACACTGCACCCCTCACAATCATACACACTGTACCCCTTACAATTACACACACTGTACCCCTCGCAATCACACACACTGCACCCCTTACACGATGCACCGCTCACAATCACACACACACTGCACCGCTGTATATTTGTATTTGTATATATATGTGTGTGTATGTATGTATATATATGCATGTGTGTGTATGTGTATATAAAAATACATATACACGCGGCGTGTGTGTTTGAGCTTTAGGGTGCACACCCTAATGCAACAGGCTGCGCACACCTATGGCTGTAAATATCCAAGATCTGCTTTAATGTGAATGCTGGTGGATAAAGGGACTCCAAGCCCAGGTCATAGCACTTAGTATAGTGATCAGCTGTGCAAATTAATGGAAGTACCTACGGATTATATTAGTCTGTATTGTCACAACCTGTATTACACCTGTTTATTTTCTACTCTGGGAAGCGCCTACACACAATATTTTCTTTTTCAAAAAAACCCTGCATACATATTGCAAAATCTAGAGATTGTTTACAATACAATTGTTTAGTATATGTATAAATATCTGGATTTATCAAAGCACCTCCAGATTATCTTGCATATAGTCTAGATTTCAAACTGTCATCATTGCATGTGTCACGGTAGTGTGTGGATGGAGTAGGACAGTAGTTGCAATGATGAAGCTGGTCTTAATCATCATAAAAAAATAGTGCCTATTTTCTCATACATGATTTTTCCATTACGTGCAATCACACAGTAGACACCGAGACAAGGACAAGGATTTTAGGTGATCTTAACTGTGGGATATGTTTACTGAAAGGTAATAACATATAAGCTAGGCAATAAAGACACATAATAAAGGCTATTTTAGTTATACGCATACATTGTAAATGTCTGTGTTTACCAAAAAACAAGCAGTCATTCGCTATATAATTCATTTTATTTTCAAGCCATTGCATCTGGTAGAAAATATATAAACAATATAGTACATGATAACTAAGCATGTGTTTTAGCATCAGCATCAAGCTGAAGACAATAAACGTGCTATGATTCTAACATATATAGAGGTGATTAGAGTCGATTAAACATTGCCTCACTTGCTATAGACATCTGTCAGTGCCATGTCAGGAGTCGTCTGATAAGATGCGGTAGTTCAGCCTCCGGTATGGAGTCCGCGACACCCCTAAGCTTGAGATTATTTCGGCGGTACCTGTCTTCTTGGGCGGTCATTAGGGTTTCTTGCTGCAGGGTTTTTTGTTGCAGATCTTTGATCGCTGCCTGCAGATCCATGATCTGGTTGGTGTGGCTGTCAGAGGAGAACTCCATCTTTCTCAGCCTGTCTGTAATGCCTTTGAATTCATCCCTGATTAGGGCCACGTCGGCTGAAATCTTCTTATGGTGAGCCGCCATTAGATCTCCGATTACTTCCATGGTCACTGACGTGGGGGCCTTTGTGTATGGTGGTCCTGTGAGGGGGTCAGCATGGAGTCTCCCCCATCTTCGTCTGACGACCCCTCCGTGAAGTCTGAGCATCCGCCATGCAAGGACTCCATCTTGGCGCCTCCTGCCTCGTGTGCCTGCCGCCATAGTTCCCCAATGTCCATTCCCTGGTGGGGCCTGTTGGGCTTTGCTTTCTTGGTTTTCCACCCCATCTGTCTCTCCTGGTTCTCTGGGTGGTCCCTGGGTGCGATTTTATGCGTGTTTTGGTGCTGAAAATGTTGCTTCAGGTGCTTAGCTCCGCCCCCCGTCATTGTGTTTTTATATGCATTACATTGCTACAATTTTAGAATACTTATATTTATTAAAGGAACAAAATACTTACATGTAAAACTAGCGTAAATAGGAAGGATGTCTTGCAAGCAGCCATTTTTAAAGTATAATACAGTAAACTTAGGAGTTGAGAAGGAAAAGTAATTCATAAATGGAGTGGAGATCGTGGTAGTAAGAACTTTACAATGCACGGTCCATTGACAAGAGAAGAAAATCAGTACTTATGGAAACATTATTTATTCTTCATTCTTAGATATTGGAAATGTTGGCAATATGAGTCTGAAAAAGTCCTTGGATCAATCCAAACATTTACATTAAAAAATTGTCATTTTTCTTATCAGCTAGTGATTATTATTATTATAGTTTATAAAGTACCACGATATTCTCCAGTTCAATGAGATATACAATTAAATTCAATAAATTAAAGGGACACTGTAGGCACAAAGACCACTTCAGCTAATTGAAGTAGTATGGGTGCTGTGACCTTTTTGCACTTAGCAGGGGCAGCTCTAGACTTTGCTAGGCCTTAGACGAAACTCAAACATGAGGCCCCCACTAACACCATTAGTGAAAAAAAAAAATAGGAGTTGACTTGTGTGTGTATAAGGAGCTGTAGATATAAAGAAGGGCAGGCTTGCAGAGTTGGATACAGAAAGGTAGTCTCTGTATTCATCTTCAGAGCCTTGCATTGTCACAGCTCCCTATGATGCTGCATTGTGAGCTCTTTGAATGTAGTTATGGTACAATTTGCAATTATTGCTAATCATTTATACACGATTCCTAGGTATGGTTGTATAGCCTGGCAGTCTTGTATCCAAAAGTGCCAGTGTAAAGGGGTTATTTGAAACAAAATTAACATTTTAACAAATAATTTAGCAAATAATAAAGTTACAGGTAAGAAAACAATGTCACAGACATTTCCCCAACATATTCTATAATCCTTTACATGTATATTATCATATATGTGTTTCCCTATGAATGTGTATGTATGTATGTATGCATGCATGTATGCATATGATATATATGCTGCTTGCAACTTTACCTTTGCATTACCCATACCATACCACCCTCACATCGCAGACAGGCACAAACACACTAATACAGGCACACATATACACACAAATACTTATACACACTGATACATGCACATGCATACACACACACAAACACACTGATGCACAAACATTGACTAATACAAACATACAGTCACAATGTATATTTATCTGGCTGGGTGTATTTCTGAGTGTGTCTGGCATTGACTGCCTGTGTATGTGCCTGTGAGTGTGTGTCTGACAGTGAGTATCCTTGTATGTGAATGCTTATTTCTGTGAGCATGTGTGTGTTTTGTCTGGGACCGTATGTGTGTGTGGTAGCTGTGTGCTGTGTTTTGTATATATGGGGCGGGGGGCTGCCTGTGGCCTTTGTGCACTTTCTTTATGGTGAAACTATGTTTTATGAATTTGTGTGTATGATGATTGTCTTCAGGGATGACTGTGACAGGGTGAGTGAAGAGGTAACTGTGGCAGGGTGAGTATGACAGGGTGAGGGGGTGAATGAGACAGGGTTGAGGGTGAGTGTGAGAATCAGGGAACACAATTATGACATGGTTGGAGCCAGAGGAGGGAGTATTACAGGGTGAGGGGAGGTAAGTGTGACAGGACTAAATTGTTAATTGTTAATGTAGCATGGTTGGCGTGTAAATAGAATTTTTGGAGTGGGTGTGACAGGATTAAGGGGGTTAATTGACAGGGTGAGTGTGGCAGAGTGATGGGGGGAGTGTGGCACAGTTGGAGGAGGGAGTGTGACAGAAAGAGGAGTGGGGAGCATGACAGTGAAAAAAAAGGTGAGTGTAAAAGGATTAAGGTGTCACGACAAGTGACCCAAAAACGCAGAGTATAACCCAAACAGAAAACGTATTACCGGAACTTAGAATGGCCGCGTTTAATGAAGATAGAATAGTCGAGGATAGCCAAGGATAAGGGAAACCAGATATCAGGATAACAATAATGAATAGCCGAGTCGGGGAACCAGATAACAGGAAGAACGAGAAAACAAGCCGAGTCAAGATACCACTAGCACTAAAGGGAACAAAACAATGAACCACAATAGGGCACTGAACAAGGACAAAAGGCGCCCTTTTATAGTGAAGTGTCTATTGCTTTAAATCCACGCCCGGGAGTGTGGAATACTTTGAATTTTCATGGCATAGCCGCTATGACGTCGGCGCGCCGAGTCATAAGAGGGGGCGGGCGTGGAGAGGCCAGCATCTGACATGCCGTGCCATTGCCTGGAGGAGTCAGCACCTGGAGCTACACCTTGCAGGTTTGTGGTGGAAAGGTAAGGTATCGTGACAGTACACCCCCTTCCAAAACTGCCCACCAGTTATCAGGCTAACGACCATGAAAAGAACAAAGCAAACGAGGAGCGTGGACATCCGAAACTTCGACCCATGATCTCTCCTCTGGCCCATGCCCTTTCTAATCTAATAAATACTGTAGTTTACCCCTAGAATATCTGGAATCGAGAATGGACTTGATTTCATATTCGTTTTGACCCTCAACTTGTACAGAAGAAGGTTTGGAAACAGTTTTCGTGAATGTGAACCAGTTACAAACCAAAGGCTTCAGTAGAGAGACATGGAAGGCATTCAGAATTCTCAAAGAGGAAGGCAAGAGTAGTTTGTAACAAACAGGGTTAATGCGTTGGAGTATTTTAAATGGTCCGATATAACGAGGTGCAAATTTCATAGAAGGCACCTTTAATCTAATGTTTCATGCCACCTACCACGTAAGTAGGAGCGGCACTACGATGTCTATTGGCATTGCACTTTTAAAGCTTACCCTTTGTACAAGGATTTGTTTCACCCTTAACCAAGTCTCTTTTAATCCCTACAAACTACTTTCTACACCTGGCATACTAGTAGGAAAGAAAGAACTCGGAAGCACAGTAGGGTCAAACCCATAGTTAATATAAAAAGGACTGTGTTGCATAGACTCGTGTACTTGGATGTTGTGAGCAAACTCAGCCCAAGGGAAACCAACCCAATCGTCTTGATATTCGGAAGTGAAACATTGAAGGTATTGATTCATCCTCTCGGTAGCACCATTAGACTGGGGTTGATATGAGGAAATAAAATTCAATTGTATACCCAATTGATTACAGAATGCTTTCCAGAATCGGGAAATAAATTGCGGGCCTCTGTCCGAGACTATATCATTCGGTATCTCATTCGGTAACCCATGTAACCGAACAACCTCTCTTATGAACAATGTGGCTAGTTCAGAGGAGGAAGGTGACTTGGCCAAAGGTATGAGATGAGTCATTTTAGAAAATCTTTCAAATAAACTATTACGAATTCCTGTAAATAGTCCCTTAATACGTCATTCATGAAGTCTTGAAAGACAGCTAGAGCATTACATAAGCCGAATGGCATAACCGCATACTCGTAATGACCATATCGTGTGTTGAAAGCGGTCTTCCATTCATCTCCATCTTTGATCCGGACTAAGTTGTATGCCCCTCTCAGATCTAGTTTAATGAAAATTGATGCACATTTCAACCTGTTAAACAACAGCGGATGAAGATGATTTAGTTATGAAGCCTTTTTTTAAAATTCTCAGTAATGTATTCCTCTAGCATTTTGTTTTCTTTAACAGTTAAGGGATAAACTGTGCCTCTCAGAGGCATAGTTTCAGGAAGCAAGTTAATAGCACAGTCATAGGGACAGTAATTTCTCAGCTTCTTTTTGCTTGAAAACTGCCTTAAGATCTAGATAAAGGTTTGGTACCTGTGTCATCAATGGTTCCATGGTGGGAACATTTAGTAGACAAACAGGTCTAACATTAGTCATACACCCATTCATGCAAGACTCACTCCACTTGGTGATCTCCTTTCTCTCCCAATCTATCACAGGATTATGCTTAGAAAGCCAAGGAAAACCAAGAACGATAGGGAAAGTAAGAGAGGTTATTTGTTGTAGGGTTATTACTTCCTGATGTAACATGCCTACAGTCAGCAAAAGCGATATAGTTTCCTTAGTAATAACAGGAACTTGAAGCGGTCTACCATCTATGGCCTCTACGGCCAAGGGTGTTGGTCTTTCTTTTAATGGGAGAGAATAAGTCTTGGTGAAAGCATCGTCAACAAAATTCTCGGCAGCCCCAGAATCAATTAAGGCTATAGTATAAATGGTCTGCCCTTCCCATTTCAATGTTACGGGTAGTAGAAGCCTAAGTTCTTTTCTTTCGTTAAAGCAGGACATACATTTTACACCCAATGCCTGTTCTCCAGAGGGCTTAGGTGCGGGAGTTTTCCGGTCTGTTGGGACAGGCCAAACGAAGGTTACCTTTCTTCACACAGTACAGGCAAAGCCCCTCTCTCCTCCTGTATTGTTTTTCGGCATCTGATAACCGAGTAAGCCCGAATTGCATAGGTTCTGGAAGGGCCATAGTGGTTGTTTCAGACAAAGGAAAGGTTAGGGCTAAATGTACTGGGTTACGCCTAGGTCTGTCCCTAGTATGTTGCCTATGTTTCAGGCATTCGTTGATGTGAGCTAGGTAAGTAATTAACTCCTCCAGAGTATTGGGTAAGTCTCTGGCTGCTACTTTATCAAGCAAGGTGTCAGAGAGCCCATTCATAAACACATCAACACAGGCTTGATCATTCCACTGTACCTCTGCTGCGTAAGTGCGGAATTCTAATGCGTATTCCACCAGAGAACGAGAACCCGGTTTCATGCGGAAGAAGGTCTTAGCGGCATTAGCTTTTCTTCCAGGGGGATCGAATGTCCTCCTGAAAGCAGCCACAAATTCCACATA